AAGGGAATAGTTGGAGCTCGCATCAGCTGTCACGGTTTCCAGCATGCGATCCGTAGCTTCAGCCTTGAGTAACGACAATTTTTTACGTACTCTGTTGGAAATCCTCCTGAACAATCTGTTGATTCTCATGTCGGATGTGCGGATGTACTCTCGCCTAAGCCTCTTCTTCAGCAACAGCAATCCCTCAACTTCAGAAGAGAGCACACAATGACGCCTTGCCGTAAGAGAGCCTGGAGACACCGGAGGGGCCGCAACTGCAGCAGCCTCCCCAATCCTTGTAAGAAGGATGTTAATGGCTGAATCCACGTCCTCCTTCGTGTTTAGGGAGGTGGAACGCTCAAGGGAGTTATCCAGTGAATCTTGGAAGGCGGAGAGACAAAATCCAGGTTTCAGCAGGCTGGATCTAGAGACAATGGTTGTAGGAGCAGACGCAAATGTTGCTACCAGCGGCAAGTGATCAGAGCTAAGATCATGCTCGTTCCTGATGGAAAGCAGGTTACTTGTAATCGATTTGTAGATAAAAAAGTCAATGCAGGACGGGGTGGCCCTAGAATTGGATGGAAAGCACGTAGGGCTTCCAGTTGCTAGAATTTGTGCTGAAGAATTCGTAATAGCATCATGTAGAGCGCTCCCTCTACCGTCGGCTCTGTAGCTACCCCAAAGTCGATGTTTTGCGTTGAAGTCCCCGCCTAGGATGAACTTATGGCCCAGTTCTGAAAGGAGGTGATCAAATTCAGCACTAGTCCAACCTAATGAAGGAGGAAGATACGCTGCACCAATCAATAGCTCTCCACTGCTAGATGAGATCATGGCGGTAGTTAGTTGAACTTTCCAATCCCTGACAACATGAAGTTGGTAATAGGAAATTCCTTCCTTGATCAGAATGGCTGAGCCACCTCGGCGAGTATTGCCGGGGTGGTCAGCTCTCAGGCATTCGAATCCTGCAAGAGTAAAGTTGATTCCAGGGTGTAAATAAGTCTCCGCAATTAACATGATGTCAATTTTATGCTGTAGAGTAAATATAAGCAGCTCATTCGCATTTGATGCCAGGCTGCGGGCGTTCCAGAATCCAATGCGGAGATCATTAGTCATAATGAGCACTATATCTGGGAATTGTCAGAGAGGATCCTCCCTGAATCTGGTTCACATTCTGGGCTATTGCTGCCACTGAGAGGGATAGCTGAGCGACCACCCTTGATGCTCTTGCATCATTTGGAACAAACTCAACAAGTCAGGAGTGGAGGCAGAAGGAGCAACATGCGCAGAGGAAGGAGCACGGACTCTAGTTCTGGATCTCGCTCTCTTGCCATTACCAGGAAGGTTAGGAAACTCCGTGTTATAGTTGTTTGTATTCCAGTTACGAGAAGACGAGTCCATTTGAGAAATAGGCTTACTACGTTGCCCGATAACATCCGCAAAGGACAGTCCATTGCGGACAGCCAAGGACGGGATAGATTGGTTTTGACATCTAGAACTTGGTTGTCGTGGAGCAGCAAGGTTAATCCCAGATCGACGATTGTTCAGTTTGAGGGAATATACAGGACAAGCTCGATCATAAGCCGCGTGATTACCCAGGCAGTTTACACAAATGAGGTCGTTGGTAGTCTTTGCCAAGCACAGAATAGAACCAGTTGGGTGTTCAAGTGAACATCGTCCACACACGGGCCTCTTTAGACAGTAATTTTTAGTGTGGTCGAAGTCGAAACACCTGAAGCATTGCCTCAGAGTATTATTCTTTCTGGGTACTTCAATTGATACTCGCATTCGGCCAACTCTAGAAATCTTGAAAACGTCCCTGTTGTTGGGAGCTGGGGACAGGTTTAGGAACCATATATTCTGTTCCGGCTGGGCATTGATACTTCCATCAGAGTTGACTCGATGAGGAAGCCTCGACTTCGGATTGTACGCATTGACAACCGAGTGGCCTTGCTTTTTAAACTCTTGGACAATCGTGTCTACAGGAGTTGAGGCAGGTAGATTACGCACCACTATACGGAACGTTTAATCCTCGTCTAGGCAGAAATGGGTATACTCAACATTATGAGCATTAAGCAACTTGAGTATCTGGCGGTGGGTGTTAGAATCCTTTGCGTAAATTCTGACATCCCCAGCAGGAGACAATCGAAATTCAAAATCATCAGATGGGATAATGGGGGATAGGAAGGCCTCCAAGGCATTAATATCAACGACATCTGGAATTCTAATGGGCCTTGGTTTCTTGATTTTCAATGGGGAATCTGGCTTTGTATTGACCGCATCCTTCACTTCATCGACTTCCACGATGTCATCATCATCAACGCTCATCAGCGAGGCAAACTGATTATGACCAAGTGGAGTATTTGGCTGCTGAGAACGTGATACAGTGGGCAGTTGCGAAGCTATAACATTTTTTAACTGCGGCGCCTGATTTTGCAATCGTCGTCTTTTGGGCTGCACCCGCTGCCAATCAATAGTGCTCGACTTAAAGACATGGTTGATTCCTTTAGTTTTCCATTCGGGAAGGTCAGCGACAGTACTCTGGGAGGATCCAAGGGTTTTCTTTGGCTGGGCACGTTTGAGAGCAGCGCTGCGGAGCTCAGCCGCAACGTCAATTGAGCTAGTAGGGGTAGCCGATCGAGAGTTGTCTTCGCGGTTTAACCGTCGAGATAGAGTAGCCTCCTCCTTATTCGAGGGCCAGCTGTGGGTGGCTTCTGCATAGCAGAAACCACCAAGCCACAGCCGGGCAAGGTATCCTGCTTCGCACAATGAATACTGTTTTCTTTTTAAATTGTTTTGAAGAATTTTCCAAAATTAAATTTAGAAAAATTTAGTTGTAGATTCGATATTTCCGTAGTTTTTTTTTTTCCGAGCTAAATAAAAACGAGACGTCCCAACTGGTTGACAGTAAAGTCGAAAAAAAAATGATTTCACAATTTATGCATATCCAAACAGCTGAATTAAACGCCGATATTTAGCGAAATTAATTTAAATAAGATAATAATAATAAGATATCTAATATTTGTATTTATTCATTTCATTTATTCAATTAAAAATGCAAACAATGTCCAATCCGCAGGTTTTCGACCACGAATTGACTTTGGGGAGTGTACCCATAATAAATGTGTACGGGGAAATGTCCGGATGTAAGTAACAGTACTAGTTGGTATTAATAATATTTTAATATTTTGTCGATGTTTATCAGCCATAGTAGTGGCGATAGATAGCGATCGATGTTCTGACGTCTTCTTCAATTTGTATATAGATAAGGGAGCTCGCTATTTTTATAATGTGGATATCTAGTATCCGTTCTAGTGTTTTCAATTGGAATAAGGTCGGGATAAGCGGCCTGTCTTTAACTTTTAGCTGTAAAATCCTTTTTATGTGCAATAGTCCGTGTTTTTAATACACTTTTATTAGTTCGGAATGTATGTATGTATGTATGTATGTAACGGAATCTTTAAACACTATTTTCAAGGGTTTCCAAATATCTGATAAAGTTGAAACTTTGCATACTTCTCAAGGACCGATGACAATGCAATAATTTAATAAAAATTTTTCATTATCCTCATTAGGATCGTCAGGATTGACAAATTCTTTTATAGATCCTCCGTAAAGGAGTAAGAGAGACAGAGCTGGCGCGCGATCTGCGCATGCATGCTGGACAAGCTTATGTAGCACTTAGTCGTGTAAGAACCTTAGACGGTATTCGCATTGAAGAACTTGATTGCTCAAAGTTAACAGGAAAAACCCCATGCAACAAAGAGGCCATAAATGAAATAATGAGATTAAGAAATAGTTCGTAAGATATTTCATAATTACATATCCGCAAAAATTGATTATTGATAAATCGAAATAAAGTACGAAAAAATAACTGATATCTTAGAAAATTTATAAAACACGCGTACCCACACTAAAAAATAGAAAATAAATATTAGTTTAGAAAAACTAAAAAACACGCTTTTATAAATAACCGAACTAAAAAGAAGAAAATAATTTATAATTACAAACTAAATTATTAAATTCAGAGCAATAGTATATAATTATAAACAAGATCACTAAATTCAGAGTTAAAAGCGTTGCCCTTAGAATAATTGTAACATTGATTATATATGCACCCCACGCTTTTAACTCTTAATTTAGTGATTAATTAATCCCAATACTCAGCAGGCTGGTTAACGTGGGCGATAGAGGAGTTAATCCGCCTTTCAATATTTATAGCTGAAAGCATCGGTTTCCTGCCTATATATGAGGAGTATTTGTGGAGATTCAAGACTTTCCTCACAGTCTCATGGCAAGCCAACTGTCTGTTTCAAAATTTTAGAATGGTCGCGTTTGGAGGGCCTTGGTGGTCTGCCTGTAGGATTGTTCAGGTGGAGTCTTTTTTTCTTTTCAGCCCGTTTATATTATAAATGGTTCTTGACTTATTATGAGACATTTCTGAAAGTTCCGACGCCGATCAACTATTGTAATGGCTAAAGTAAACCAATTGATTAATATTATCAATTCGTTTTCCGGGCATGATTAAAATTATGGACTCGATCAAACACGAACTTTTTCTAACGAAATTCTTCAATATAAAAGTAAAAACTACTAAGTGGCAAGCGTTAATTTTCCTCACAATTAGCTTTGCGTTGTTTAATTCTAGGAATCTTTTAAACTTCTGTTTGCATTTTGCAAAGAATTATTTGACAGCTGAAAACTTTAGGTTATTTTGTTTTGTTATTTTATATAATAATTCTTGTTGAAATTTGTTGCTTTTTAACTCATATTAAAATCTCAAACATCATTTAATAGTATAAGACAAAAGAAAAATTGTTAAAAGGCTTCTGTCAATACTTTTTCAGTTTAAAAAATAATTTATATTTCATTTTTTATTTTGCAAAGAATTAGATGACAAACTGATGGAAATTAGGGCCTACTGTGACGAAATCAAGATAATTTGCAGAACCGCCAATTGGGAAAGATAACACGAAAGCTCCAAAAATCCCTATAACTATTCCGAAGAGCAAATAAAAAAAAAATTACAATAAAACAAGCAACTTTTTATTTCTTTAAGTTAATGGAAGATCCATAGTGACAGTCTTCGTCAAACTCCTCACTATTTGACAGCTCTAACAATTTCTGGCGCTTGTCTGCAACAATAAACTCGTCATCCTCTATCATTTCGGAGTCTCCACGTTTCCGAATATTAGGTAGTGTAACAGTCTGAACAACATCTGTTTCATTATCGTGATAGGCCAAATAAATGGGCTCAATATATTTTTTAGACCTAAAAAATAAAGATAAAACTTAGCAGTGGGTTTTTAAAATTTTAAAACAAAAAATACTTACAATTTAAGTAAGTACGGATCAAATGGAAAAATTGTTTCAAGCACTTCTTCCGACATGGATTTGTCATGACCGTAAACAGTGGCCAGTTTGCGACGAGCGTTACGCTCCAAAACCGTATGACAATACGCCAATTGATGTGTTCGCGTAACTCCAGCAAAGGCCGTAGCCACTGGGGCTAAACAGTATCGAAGCGGATTAAAGTGGCACATGGCAAGACGAGAAAGTTGTAGAGATTGAAGGAAGAGCAAATCTTTTTTACATCTTGTCAAATCACTGGCACGAAAGGCAATTAAATAGAAAATGCCTTGACATACTGAGAAAAATACCATGTTGGCTTTAAGTGAACAATTCTGGCCGTATTCATCAGAGTCGTCTATATAGGAATGTGCCCATTTACTTAACTCTTGAAGATAGAATGTTATAGTTCTGAAAAACAGTAAAACTTATTTAGTAGACATTCTAAGAAACAACCATTACTTACCCAAGTGGTAAAAACTTCGCGCGGGCTATAAAACTAGATAGGTACCCTACAGCTGTATGTCGAATTATAGCTGATGCATTTGGATTTTGAACTTTCTTCCAAAGCATTTGCAAAAAGCCTTCCCAATACACCGATCGAATACCACACACTTGAAATATGACGAATTGCACATGATGAATATTGTGACTTGGAAGTAAAAGTTCGTTAAACAAGTACAACAACATATGAAATACTTGACTTGCTGACAAGCTTTCTTCACGGCTCTTTGGTTCAATGCGACATTGCTCATCAAAAAACTTGTACAGCATTAAAAGGCATATATCTAGGGTATGACCGATAGGATGGTTGACTGTTGGTTGTTGGTTTTCGCCAGTCTCCACGTCGATTGCATCTCGGGGGGCATTAACATCTAAGACTAAAAGTCTGAAAAAATAGTTGTAAACTAGACTTAACTGCGTTAGATTGTATTTATAGTTCAGAAATTACTTACTTTTGCAGAACCAGCTGCAAAATTAGCTCTTTAAATATCGGCTTATATTCGATAAACCAAAGAACGTTAAACAGATAACCAGCCGTAACATGAGAAGGCTTCTTGAAGTACGGAAATTTTGAGGTTATTGCGTCAATAACTTCATCAAATGACATAGGTACAGCTGTGAGGATTCGATTGAGAGCATCATGAATTGTCTTTAAATCCATGTGAGCACGTTCCGATGGGCTACCATTAACCCAATCGGCTGAATCTAAGTCCGCGGGAATCCAGTGGACAATCAATTTGATTAAACCAATTGGTAAATACCTATTGTGGGTCACCATAACGTCAACGCAAAAATCTGTGTATGCTTGGATAATCACAAGATCTCGATTTTTCCAGTTAAGGGACATCAATGCTTCGACAAGGCTTATAAAATCTGGGGTCAAATGGTGAACTATCTGTCTGGCATCTGTGAAAACTTGCAAAAACTCATCATCGTCGAGATCAGATTCTCGAATAAAGTATGTAAACTCTTGGACAAAATGAAAATTTCCATCTTCCACAGCTACACGAATAGATTCCAAAAGACCTTTTTCTTTAGCAGTAGCAAATCGAACTTTGTTTGCGGCAGCAGTTTTGGCTCGTTCTCGATCAGCACCGGAAAACGGTTTTAAAATAGATGTAGCACCCGATTTGGTTGTATAAATAGACATCTTGCTCACCGAAAGCAAGCCTAAACACGGCAAATAAACTAGAAGTTATGTGGACATTAGATTACATTAGCAATGTAAAATTGTTTTTATAAAGAATTTGCGAAAACACCTTATTGAAGTTACTCTGTACAAAAATATCATTATAACATTAATTTGTACTTCCTTGTAAGTTCGCTTATATTTTGGAATCACGCTACTCTCAAATGTGACCGAGTTGAAAAACGTTTTTTGAAAAATAAAGAAAAGGTCCGAACTTTATTACGACACATACACACTACCTTGCATAACAAAAATTGATTTAGAAGTTAGTATTTATTCGTTTAAAGTTGGAACGCTTTTAATACTGTCTTCCCACACAGTCATACCGTGTAAAAAAATTGGGATTTTTTGCAAATGAGACACACCGATTCCCACAGACATGCATTTCATCCATCATCCAATAACAACTCAGATTTTTAAAGTGGCTTTTGTGCAATCATCTTCCAACTATTTTAGCCTGTTCAACAAAAGAAAATGTGCATATTGCGGCAGATTTTCTTATCACTATAATAAAATGAATTAGATAACGGGGAATTTGGAAATTCTCTAATGACTTTTCTCATCTTCAATGTTCCCTAAGGTTAAATTATTTTCCAAAGGCTTGGAAAAGTGCTTACATAATGTTGATCCCTAAACCTGGCAAACCTCCCGAGGACCACAACAGTTATCGACCTTTTAGCATCCTTTCCTCACTTGGTAAGCTTCTGGAAAGGTGCATCCTTAGGAGATTTCGTCAGTCTCCGAAGGCAATGAACGCTCTTTCTAACTTTCAATTTCGGTTCAGACTCAGGCACGGCACCCCTGAGCAGTTGTACCGTGCGTTTGGATATAGAGCTTTTTAAGCAGGTCAGGGTGTATAAGTACCTGGGGGTACTCGCAAAGCATACAAGTACAGATAGGCGCTCATGGAGGATAATGCCAGAAGGCTGTATTGGCTGCTGAAGGCAAACAATTACCTAAGTCTGGCAAATAAAGTCCGGATGTAAAAGTCCATTCTTGCACCCACTAGGTGATACGGGATTCAAGGTTATGGTATTGTGGCTAAAACTAATCTGAGTCGAATCCAGGTGTTCTAAAACAAGTTCCTCCGGAGTGTTCGGAGCAGACCGCTAACGCCTTATTATGCGCGCATGGGTGTTTGGCTGCACCTGCTGCGCTCTTAGCTCTTCTCTTTTTAATCTATTTCTCCCTCCCTCTTCTTCTTCAGTCGCCTTATCTTTTAAATTAAGCTACATTGTAAGCATATACATATATGTATTGAAGCTAAGCGTTCGATCGGTTGTTGCAGCTCCGACCAGAGAACAGACAAGAAAATAAATACAGCACAATGCAGTACCGCGTGTCATCAATTGGCCACTGTCATCAACGCGCCGACTGCGACTTCTACCGAGACGACGCTCTGCCCTCTGCGACTTCGAACGAATCGACCCTCTGCCGATTGCGAGTTCTACTACGACGCTCGGCCCACGATACACTTACGGCGGTAGTCTAGACGGCAGTCGTCGGCAGTATCATGGCCCGGCCGTTGAGAAATTTGTTGATGAAACATCGATGAATTGTTGATGGAACATCGATGTTTCATCGACAAAGCATCGATGAATTTATGATGAATTGTTGATGAATTTGTTCATGAATTGTTGATGGATCATCGATTTATTGTTGATGAATTTTTATTGATGACAGCCTAGGACATGCCCATGTTAAATAAGTCAACAGTTTGAATGGCCTGCCATCGATGAAAAATCAACAGCACCCCTTGACTGTTAATGAAACGTTGATTTTTTACGAATGGTGGAGATATAGCCAGTCAAAAAAGGAATATTTTTAGGACACGGTCGGATGCAGTACATGCTGCACATCACAGTTGTTTTCTGAAATTCAAAAACAAAATCTTTTTAATAACTAAAAAAGTATGGCTATAGCATGACGTAGCCATTTTTGAAAAACATTTTATCTTTAGCAAATGGAAGCACTTTGCAACAAAAAATTTTTTTAGTCGAAATTTTTTATTTAAAAATTTATAACTTTAAAACAAACAAAAAAGGAAGCTAACTTCGACATGCCGGTTTTTATCCCCTTGCATATAGAGCTTCAATGACTAGGAATCCATACAACACAAATTATATATATTTATGTTAAAAAACAATGAAGTAATACCTTCATTCATTTAATTCACCTATACATTTTATATTTGCAGTTTTACATTCACAGATTTGCATTTTACCTCCACATTTAACGATCGTTTTGTATGGCACCTATATGATATAGTAGTCCGATTTGCATGAAATTGGATACAAAATTTAGGACTAATAAAGATGGCTATTTCTCAAATTAGATAAAAATCTGTTGAAAACTCAAAAAGTTTTAATTTTATATCTTATTAATTTCTCGGTCGTTTCTATTGCAGCTATATAATATAGTAGTCCGATTTTTATAAAATTTTACACAAAACTGTAGAATAATATAAAATGGCTATATCTTATGTTTATATAATTTTTATTGGCATTAATTTTATTAAAAATTTAAAAAGTTCTAATTTTTAATTGTATTAATTTCTCGAGCGTTCCTATGGGAGCTGTATGATATAGTAGTCCGATTTTTATAAAATTTTACTCAAAAATGTAAAGTAATATACAATGGCTAAATCTCAAATTTGATCACATTCTGCCAAAAACTAACAATGTTATAATTTCTGTTGTAAAAATTTTCCGATCATTCCTATGGCAGCTATATGATATAGTCTTCGGATCCGCCCCGTTCCGACATATATACGAGTGAGAGTATATAGAATACTAACTACAAAGTTTCATTTAGATAGCTACAAAACTCGAAGACTAGTTTTCGTAGAAACGGACAGACGGAAATGGCTAGATCGACTCGGCTGTTGATCCTGATCAAGAATATATATACTTTATATAGTCGGAGGTGCCTCCTTCAGTGCTTTGCAAACTTCTGACTTAATTTATAATAACCTGCAAAAGTATAAAAATCATATCAAGAAAATCCTACGTCATACCATAGGGGACGTTATAGAGAAAGTTAAAAGTAACAAGAAAGGAAGCTAACTTCGGCACGCCGAAGTTTCTATACCCTTACAGATAGAAATTCTATGACTATGAATCCATACAATATAAATTATATATATTTGTATTAAAAAACAATGAAGTAATACCTGCATTCATTTCATTCACCTATACATATTATATTTGCATTTTTCCTCTACATCAAACGATCGTTTGTGTGGCACCTATATGATATAGTCGTCCGATTTTCTAAATTTGATAAAAATCTGTTGAAAACTGAAAAAGTTAAATTTTTTAATTGTATTAATTTCTCGATCGTCCCTATTTGATGAAAATCAGTTGAAAACTGAAAATGTTATAATTTTTTTTGTAAAAATTTTCCGAAAATTCCTATGACAGCTATATTATATAGTCGTGCGATCTGGCCTGTTCCGACATATATACGAGTGAGCGTACATAGAAGGCTAACTGTAAAGATTCATTCAAATAGCTTCAAAACTGAGAGACTAGTTTGCGTAGAAACGGACAGGCGGACATGGCTAGATCGACTCGTCTGTTGATCCTGATCAAGAATATATATACTTTATATAGTCGGAGGTGCCTCCTTCTCTGCGTTGCAAACTTCTGACTGAAATTATAATACCCTGCAAGGGTATAAAAAGAGACTAATGCGAACACTTTTACCCCTTCTCGTTTAGGCACAAATTTGCATCTTTCTTGATTTAGCAAGGTTGTTGTGCATCAGCTAGAGAACAATCAGGAATACTTATTTTTGGTAAAATCGAATACACTTATTGAAATACATTTAAAGCAATTTAGAATTTCACAGTACTTGGACTCTTTGCAAAAGGTGAACTGTAACAATATATTTCAACACAAGTTGGTTTCCTTGTATGCAAAGTATGATCGTACAAAACTATTGCCATTCTTACGGCGTTCAAAGGAGTACGTTATACAAGATGCATTGGAGATATGTAAACGAGAAGAATTTTATCTAGAGATGGTTTACTTGCTGGGTTGCATGGGCGGAGTGGAAGCAGCAGAAGCCCTTAATATAATAATTCATAAGGTAATGAGTATTATTATTAGAATTCAAGCGAGTTGACCGAGTTGACGGTTTAAAGACTTTAAAAAATCGAACGTTAAATTGGTTAACCCCTTATAAATAGGGTAATTCTCTAGAAATTTATTTTTGTTTTTTTGTAGATGAGAGACGTTGAAATGGCAATAGAATTTTGTAAAGAGCATGATGACAACGATCTATGGAATAGATGAATAAATGAATAAATGAATCCACTAAGCAACCTGAGATTATAACGAAAGTTTTGAATGGCATTGTGGGTAAGTAATATAGAGTTTGAATTTCAAATGTTTTACGTAGCCTACCTTCATTTTATTGCTTTTTAGATTTTGTTAACCCAGAAGTAGTGGTTAGTAAAATAAAGAAGGGCCAGACCATACCAAATCTTCGGGAATCTGTAATCAATATGCTATGGCACTACAATATCCAACAGGAAATGCTATCCACCGCTCAAAGAATGCAGCTTGATGATTATTTTGATACCCACTCCGAGGTGGTTTCATTGCACCGGCGCGGCCAACAAGTATCCCATGATCAATGCTGTGCACAGTGTCAATGTCCAATACTAATGAAAAATGATACCTTTAATTCCATAGTCGTGTTTAAATGTGGTCATATGTATCACGATCTGTGCAATCTTAGCAACGAGTACTGCACAGAGTGTCAAACGTGGAACACTAAGCCTACCAAAGTGGAATAGATCAGATAACCACAATTTATTGCAGTTGTCATTCTCATGTATGCAGTTCCAATTAAATATACTATAAATAATTATATTGTCCGTGTACTCGCCTTTAAAACTCAATTTACATAAATAGATAAGAAAATATAAATAATAAATCTGAATACACCCAAAATTTAAACAAAACCAGCAATAAAACAACAAAAACAGTATGGAATTTTTTTTCGATTTTTTCTAGTTTTTACTTTTCTAAGCAAAAACCTAAATACTGTACAGAGTGTGGCCAAATGGGAATTAACTTTATATAAAATTATTAGGGATAACACTATAATATAGAAAAGCATTGTACGGCCACAAAGACCATTAGTCGAATGGATTGAATTAGTCGCGACGCCACAAGTCTATGGGCTTTTATATCTTGATAAGTAAACATTTTTGCTAGTTCGACCCAATGAGGAGGTGCCTAGGGGTGATGGAAGTGATAATTGCGCCACCTTTGCATGTGTTGCTCGGATGGTCAGCTCTGTAGCACAGAAAACTCGTCAGAGAGAATTGCATTCCTGAGTGAAAGCAGTGTTCTTCCACAAGCATAATGGCATGTTGTTGAAAAAGTCCAGGAAGTATATGGAAAATCAGCTTAGCAAACAAAGCAATACTCTAATCAACATGTATTGCCCTTGGGAAAACTTTTGTATATATGAACTTTTGACTAGTGTACGCAGCCGAAGCAACAGTCATTCTCAAAGCTATTTAAATAGACCTGCCCAGATTCACTAGATTAAAGATTGAAGCTATAAAAAAAGCACGTGAACTCCAAAATTCGAGGATTGATTAACAACCACTTCCCAAAAATAAAAATTCTATGGGTACCAAGGTAATCCGGGCAACGTTTTCGCCGATAAGGGTGCGAAACAGACACAAGTTCACCTCTTTTCACATCTCCAAACTCACTCATAGACCAGAAATCAACGGATGTCTTAAATCATCATTAAACAAGATAGGAAGCTAACTTCGGCACGCCAAAGTTTATATACCCTTACAGATATAAATTCTATGACTATGAATCCATACAATATAAATTATATATATTTGAGTTAAAAAACAATGAAGTAATACCTGCTTTCATTTCATTCACCTATACATATTATATTTACAGTTTTACATTCACTGATTTGCATTTTTCCTCCACATCAAACGATCGTTTGTATGGCACCTATATGATATAGTCGTCCGATTTTCATGAAATTTACCACAAAATTTAAGACTTAAATTAAATGCCTATACCTAAAATTTGATGAAAATCAGTTGAAAACTGAAAAGGTTATAAATTTAATTGTATTAATTTCTCGATCGTTCCTATGGGAGCTATATGATATAGTAGTCCGATTTTCATAAAATTTTATGCAAAATTGTAGAGTATAGTAGAATGGCTATATCTCAAATTTGATCCAATTCTATTGAAATCTGAAAAAGTTAAAAATTTTTTGTAAAAATTTTCCGATCATTCCTATGGCAGCTATATGATATAGTCGTCCGATCCGGCCCGTTCCGACATATATACGAGTGAGAGTATATAGAAGGCTAACTACAAAGTTTCATTCAGATAGCTTCAAAACTGAGAGACTAGTTTGCGTAGAAACGGACAGACGGACAGACGGACAGACGGTCATGGCTAGATCGACTCGGCTGTTGATCCTGATCAAGAATATATATACTTTATATGCACGGAGGTGCCTCCGAAAAATTGTAAGCGTCTAAACAGCTGTGAACAACGCCTTCAAAGAGACTTGTAAGCCTACATTCTCGAAGAAGCAATACCCACCGTGGTGGACGAAGGAATTAAGCGTGCTCAGGAAGAGCGCGAGGAAGTCCTTTAACCACAGCTATGCAACCCGGGATTGGGGACCATACAAAGAGGCACAAAAAATCTACAAGAAGGCAGTATGCAAGGCCAAGAAAGAGTCCTGGCAAAACTACTGCGAGTCACTGGAAGGCATAAAGGACACGGCGAGAGTAAGCAAAATTCTCGCCAAAGGGCACATAAGCCCTACCCTGATCAATAGGGCAGACGGCTCCGCTACGACGACAATTGAGGAGTCACTAGAGCTACTAGTTGACACCCACTTCCCAGGAAGCCTGAGAGAGAGCTCGGAACCCGTGGAGGGAACGAGCTCTCAAATGGACACACCCACGAAAGACATCATTACCACTGAGCGGATACAGTGGGCAATAGATTCTTTCGATAAGTATAAAAGCCCGGGCCCAGACGGCTTATTACCGGCAATGCTACAATCAGCTAAGGACAGTATTTGCAAATGGCTAAAAGCCATTTACGAAGCTTGTTTAAGACTGACGCACGTCCCACTGCTGTGGAGAGAGGCTAAAGTCATTTTTATACCGAAACCGGGCAGAAGAGGGCATATCCTAGCAAAGGATTATAGACCGATAAGTCTTACCTCCTTCACCCTGAAGACACTAGAGAGACTCCTGGACGCCCACATCCGAGAGTCTCTAGAAGGGCAGCAACTCTCGGATGCGCAGCATGCGTACCGCAGAGGAAAATCTACGGAAACAGCGCTACACGTAGTTGTACATCATGTCGAGAAGACATTACAACACAAACAATACACGATGGCAGCCTTCCTAGACATCGAAGGCGCGTTCAATAACGTGAACCCCGACTCTATCCTGAGCTCCCTCAACTTGCTAGGTATTGAGAGAGGCATCAGAGAGTGGGTCGGAGTCATGCTAAAGAGCAGGACGATCACAGCCGAACTGAGTGGCACTCACCTCACGCGGACTGTGAAGAGAGGCACACCTCAGGGCGGGGTACTATCGCCCCTACTCTGGCTCACAAATATGAACGCCATATTGACAGAACTCAATACGGGTGGAGTCAAAGCAGTTGCATACGCGGACGACGTAGTACTGCTAGTATCAGGACCATACCCCGACGTCATTAGCGAAATAATGACGGGTGCGCTAGGTCGTCTAAACAAATGGGCAGAAACCTGCGGACTAGGTATCAACCCCACTAAAACGGAACTTATGCTCTTCACACGGAGAACTAAGATACCTCCCTTCAACATGCCCAGTATTAGCGGCATGGAGCTAAAACTATCGGAGCGAGCGAAATATCTAGGAGTGATTCTGGATAAAAAGCTCTCATGGAAAGATAACATTGCAGAACGAGTTAGGAAGGCAAGCATTGCATTCTACTCCTGCAGGAAAATGTTTGGGAACAAATGGGGACTGCACCCTAAGATAATTCTATGGCTCTACACTGCAGTGGTACGGCCAATTCTAACATACGGAGCTCTAGTATGGTGGCCGGCACTAACTAGGGCTTACAACAGAACGAAGCTGACACGGATACAACGGGCAGCGAGTGCGGGAGCAGTGGGTGCAATGCGCTCATGCCCCGCGGCTGCTCTCAACGCTATCCTAGATATAATGCCGATAGAGCTGTTCGTGAAGGACACTGCGGCACAGAGCGCAGTAAGACTGAAGGCGAGCAATTGCTGGAGGGACTACGGCGCCGGGCACGGAAAGATCCTTGCAAACAGCGGCATTAACACAGACGTTAAGACCGACTATATGATCGCGGAAATGAATTTCGGGAACGCATTCTCGACATCATACCCATCAAGGGACGACTGGAGTAGGGGCAGAGTAGTAGTGGAGAACGAGGTGTCCCTCTACACCGATGGCTCAAAAATGAGCTGCGGCGTAGGGGCTGGGATCTTCGCTGAAAACTGGGGAATTGAAAAGGCTTTCAATCTCTCTAACTCAGCGACGGTCTTTCAGGCTGAGTTACTAGCCATAAGGGAAGCAGTCGAACTTTCCTTAAGGCAGGAACTCAGGGGCAAAAGAGTTCGAATCTACTCGGATAGCCAAGCGGCTATAAAATCCCTATCTGCAGTAAAAACAAATTCAAGACTAGTGGCAGAATGCAAGAAGGCCCTTAATAGACTTGCCGACAAAAACACGGTACAAGTGACATGGGTACCGGGACACAACGAGATCCCAGGTAATGAGAAGGCAGACGAACTAGCCCGTGCAGGCTCGGCGGGGCTAAGCTCTGACTTCGAGTTACCGATCTCCCTAAACGCGATCCAGACAAGGATCCATGACCACTTTAGACAGATAGCCAGTAAAGAATGGCAAAGGAAGAGCGATCACAGAAGGTCAAGGGAATGTTGGCCGAGGTACGATAGGAAGCGAACCAGGGAACTGCTATCCAACAGCAAGCGGGATATCAGTAGGTTCACGGCACTCACCACGGGACATTGGGCGATCGGTTCGCATGCAATGAAGATGGGACTGCCATACAACGCAATCTGTAGAAGCTGTAAGCAACCTACAGAGCAAGAGACACCGGAACATCTGCTCTGCTTCTGCCCAGCGCTAAACCACATCAGGTTTCGCCACTTCGGTGCCTACCAGATGGAGTCACTGAGAAGCATAGGAAAGCTGAAAGTTTCAGCGATCCTAGACTTCCTTGCTGACTCAGGATGGTACTGATAGTGAATAACAACAAGAAAAACAGAGGGTGTGGAACAAAAAGGAGCTTAGCTCTAATTGGAGGCCCCAGCAGTGGGCCTCACCACTGAAACCTACCTACCTACCTAAACAGCTGTGATTTACTAACGAAATAATAAATTGTTTTTGTTTTAAAGCCCAAGGGGAAAAATTTAGAAATAAAAACATTGATCGTATGGAGCGGTTTCTAGGCGTCAAGAAAATGCTGAAATTAATAAATGACGTAATAATAAGACCTATAACATGACTTAATTTAAGAAAGACATTTTAAATACGGATCTATTTTGTTTTTCAGCGTCGACTGCTTTGGTTATTTGCCTTTAGCTCCATAGCGGCGAGTACAATAATAAATAATATTACAAAATCCAATCCGTTTGAGTTCATTTTAAAATTAATTATAAAATTTGTTTACAAAGAAGCTGGCTGCCAAGCGAAATATATATAGCTTCTTCGCTTCCTATATTCTTCAAGCTGATCTATATAGCATTAGTACTAAAGAGCAAATGCACACTCCTCTAAGTTCTAGTGCAGTGGTGGTAGTTGCTCTCAA